CAACCAACCAATCAATCAATCAATCAATCAATCAATCAATCAATCAATCAATCAATCAATCAATCAATCAATCAATCAATCAATCAATCAAACACAGTTAACTGAAGTATTACAGTATGTCAGGTACCATCACTACACATCAAAATGTCAATATTTACAAAATAAAAGTCCCAACTTCCTGTGGGGCTTTTAGAAAAGAAAACAGGAAGATGTCGTATAAATGTTTTTTAATGGTGAACCTTGTTTTTTGTGTTTCCAGCAAACAGAAGGTGGTTTATACCTACAGGATTCTTCAGGGACACAATGGAAACTACACCCTGCTGGTAAAAACTACAGAAATATTACAAACTCTGCATCATTTTCAGCTTTCACAATAAACTGTTTTTTATGTAAAACATTTTATCCTGGAGGCTAAAAACAGCAAAACAAAAACTCTAAAATTTGTTTAAMTTATTCTACAATAAAACTTTGGATCTAGAAACAATAAAACAGCAGGAATACGAGTCAAAAATCGTATTATTTATTATTTTTGGTTCAACAGAATCATTCAAAGCTCACTAAGCAGCAGTGTTTACGTGGAAAAGATCAGAAGATTTTATCTTTCTGGTTTTGTCTCATCGGTCAGCTTCATAGCAAAAAACCATCTTATTAACACGTAAAACTACTTCTGTAAAAACTGTAAAAATTCCAATTTAAAAGTAAGATCTTTAACTTTGAAGAGGAAKTTCACAACTGATGGTTCTTAACCTGAACTTTTGATTAACTTTATTTTGGAGGGAACGTCTGAAAGAAGATTTGTAACAAAGTGTTTCAGATGTGAGTAAATCTGCAGTTTTCCTTAAATCTTCTTGGATTAACTGAGTGTCGGTCAGTCCTGTGAGAGTCAAACTAATCCCACCCCCTCAGCTGCAGTCAATCACGATCACTAACAGGAAGTTACCAGGTCCTGTCAAGTTAAAAGCCGTTTGTCAACGAAGGAATGTTTTGTTGGAGTTGTTTGTCACCTCAGAATGGAAAGTCGTCCTCACRGCGGAGGAAACGACCCCTCACTGACGCAGTCGTGTGGAAATCACAGTTTTTCTTCCCACCGCTTTAATAAAACCAGACCAGACACTTGTAGCTCCGCCCACGCTTTCAAGTTGTTTATTTAATTTGAGATGTTAAAGGTCAGCCTGAGCTTCAYACCTGGAAACTGACATCTGTGAGCCGTCGTATCAAAACCAGGATCAAGTTTAAATACAGAGTTCTGATTAAAACGGKTACTATAACTGCATTTTGTCAAAATATAACAAATGTTTGAATGAACTGTCTGAACTGTATAATCCTAAAAACACTTTTTGAAGTGTTTTTTGAGCAGTAACAAAAAAAAAAAGATTTTGAGGAAAAACGCCTTAAATTTTTGAGGTTTTCCTGTGAGCTGCAAAGATTTTATTTCTTTCCGAAAAAGTTAAAATGAGGTTTCCTCCTTATTTTGACATTAAAAATAATTAAAATAAATCAATTAAATAAAAATTAGGGGAGTGGTGAGCAGAGATTAGAGAAGGTGAACCTGTGATTGGAAGGTTGCCTGTTCAACTCCCCGACCAGCTCCACTCTGGACCCTTGAGCAAGGCTCTTAACCCCTCAGTTGCTCCCCAGGCACCAGCAAACTACTCACCATGTGTGCTCACGTGCAATGGGACAAATGCTGAGAGTGAATTCCCCCAGCTGGGGATCAATAAAATAAAATAAAATAAAATAAAATAAAATAAAATAAAATAAAATAATCCTTATAAAATTAGGATTCAGACCAAATATTAATGTAATAAACAAAACAAATGAAGTCATATCTGTGGATCAGAACGATATCAGAACCAGGGATCTAAATGTAGCTTTAAAGGCAGGAATCTAAAAGATGTGATGTTATTTTGACCTAATTTGACTTTAACTTTTTGTTGATACGATGAGTCACATTTRTTCTGCTCCTTCCTCAGACTACAGGAGGTTTGCCCGAGACGTATTTCAAGACTTTGGGAGATTTAATTCGAAACTACAAGAGGAAGAACCAGGGTCTGGCCACCCACCTGCGCCATGCTGTCAAAAAGAAGACGCCCTGGTTGATTCAACCCCTTCCCTCACCTGTGAGACCCCCCAGAGTCCAGCCTGGAGTGTCACCTGAAGTTCCATCCAGAGCATCATCAGGAGCATCATCAGGAGCATCATCCAGGGAACCACCCAGAGCATCATCCAGGGAACCACCCAGAGCATCATCAGCAGGACACGTGTTACAAAGAAAACGCCTCCCTTTACCTGATGAAGACCAGGATTATGAGAGTAAGCTCTAAATGTCATCTCCCCTCAGATCAGCTTCATGTATCTCTACTTCATCCAGTTCTTCTTGTGTTTCCTGCAGATGTTCCATCCTCTGAGTACGTGGAGGTTCTTCCTGATGCTCTCTGACAGAGGAACATCCAGAGGAACCATAACTCCTCAGGCTCATGAAGATGATCGCTTGTCTCTGTCTGTTCTTCAAATATCTCCTCAACCCTGGCTCATCCTTCGAGTTTTGTTTAGGCGACTTGAAGAGAAAAACTCTGAAAATGTTTTGGGTATGAGGACTAAAAACGAGTGAAAAAAAGCTGCTAAAAGCCAAAGCAGCTCTTTGGGAGACCACCAGGAAGTCTGCAGACGTYGTCATCTTGATCATTTGATATAAAAACATCCAGTTCTGTGGTGAACGGAGGAGAGCCGACAGACAGCCGGGCTTTGACCACAGCAAAGGATTTACAACGTTACACACAGCCCACTCATTGTTCCATGTGGTGAAGTGACACAACTTCACGTTTATTCAGACAACAGGACATCTGACGTGTTGAACTTATCTTTAACGACATCATGTTTTCTCCTCTCGAACCTGGAGCTTCAGATGGAAACAGAGACAGAAGCTGTGCTGTCTAAAATAAATGATGATGTGCTTCTGAAAAAGAAGCTGTTCTGCATAAATTGACTGTATTTGATGCAAAAGTTGTGTTGCTCAAAATAAATCACCATATACATGGTAAAACTTGCACATGCAGAAGTAATAAAAATAAGGTTTTAATCAAGTAAAACTGGATCTGGATCCAAATAAAACTTTGTTTCACTTCTGCTGTTCTTTAACCTCTTGAGCTCCAGCTTCTTCTGTTTTCTATTCATTTGAACTTCTTTTAACTTTCGATCTGTCAGTTGAACCTGGACATGTTTGGTATCAAAAGRAAGCTAAGAATTGTGGCTAAAAGCTCATGGAAACTATATTTACATCCACCAAATACAGCTAAAACGTCAAGCAGTTGAATCAGAAAGTAAACAAACTGTACAAAATGGGATTGTTGCAAATCTGTAAATACATTACAACTAATCTGTAAAGGAAAATTTTTTACATTTGTTTAATAAAGTAAGTCAAAGCAGATACCAAAAAATGTATTAAAGTGTGTTGAAAGTTTTTTTCTCTTGATTTTTAGTGAATCCGATCCAACTGAAGTCAAACATAATTTCTCATTATTTTATGTAATGTATATGGTGACAAATAAATGTTAGGATATTTTTTCTAAAGAACAAACATTCAATAACAAGTCTTTAAAGCAGGTAAGAAAAAATAAAAACTTTTAGATGTAAAAACTTCAGATTTCTTAACATTTATTAATAAAACCATCACGGTCTGTCCTGTGCAGAATGACAAAACACTAAAAATTATTTCTTTACTAAAACCTCTGTAACTTTGCTCCAGTTCATTTTAGCAGCATGAATCTTTGTACAGGTGATGTCTACAAGTGGATTTATGGTTTCCAAGAGTTTTTACCTGATTCATTATGGTTTTAAATGGGTTTTATACTGTCTAATGAAAACATTATTCAGGTGAGAGTGGAAAAAAATTAAAAAAATCTGTTCCATCCTCAATATCTCTAAAACCACAGCAGCTGTTTTAATACTTCTGATGAAATCTCCCAAGTGTTGCTTTATTTTCATACCAAGATTATTTAGGTAGAGTTTGTAAATGCTGAAGTACACTCAGTTACATCTCAGCATGGTATTTTGAGAAAAAAATTCAAGAAAACTCCTTGGAGCTTAAGAGGTTAAAGCTTTGAAAATATATTTTTCTTTCAAATCTTTGCTTTCAGTTAATTATTTAATGTTTTGTTATAGAAGAAAACTGTCAATGCTCTTTTTCTGTTGGTTAAAGACAACTACATTAGGTTTGAAATGATGTTTAGAGTTTGATTTGTGATTTGTAACATGTTGCATTGAAATGAGATGTGTTCCTGTGCAGCAGTTAAGTTTCAAAATGAAACACGTTGAGGTTTGTTAATAGTTCTGAACATCTTTCAAGTGTTAAACCAACAAAGGAAGTGCCAAACAGGAGCGTACGCTACGTGTTGGTCAGTTGTCTGCATGCAGTCTGGCTGCAGAAAACTCAGGGTCGTGAACTTGAAGCTTCGCTGTTCTCTGCAGTACATCTCAGCGTTTATTTGGGTGTTAAATGCACACATTGTCACATCAACATGTTTTTATTGTGGCTTTGCATGCACCGTCCAGATGTTTTTTTTTTTTGGTGCAGAGTTGTTGGTTGAGCTGTTATTTTGGAAATGTTCGAATTTACTGTAAATATAAAGCAGCTAACCAGTTTTTTAAATAAATTATTGTACATTTACTTAACTGTTGGGTAAAATAAAGTTTTTTTTCTTGCAGAYGTGAATCATGAAGTAAAGCATGTTCAAAATAGATTTTTAAATCTATTTTTGTTCTGAGTTTTTTTTTTTTGCAGAAATGTTTTGTGATGCTCAGCAACGTAAAAAATGTTTCTGTGGTTCGATACAATCACATCCTGTCTGGGGCCAAGTGTCTCATGGTGATACTTTTTTTAGTCTTAAGAAATGACCATGAAACTAATCCAGCTTCAMAGCATTCAAGATTCAAGATTCAAAAGATTCAAGGTGTTTATTAAACACAGATGAAACGTGTTTGTTTCCCTGAGCAATGAAATTCTTACTTTGCTGTCCWCAGTGAATGCCAAGAGACAAGCAGATAAAAAGAAAACGAGTACTTAAAGGATACYAGCAACTAAATAAATAAAGGGTAAAAAGAATGAAGTAATAAATGAAAATATTAGATAAACAACACAGCAGCTCTGCTGCAAAAAGTAACCATAATTGTACATTTAACGTGTTTTAATACTAAATAATATAAACCATTTCATTTGTCAGCAGAATAAATTTGATTTTATTAGTTTTTTAGGTATATATGCATTTATATGAAAGTGTTTGGATATGTAGGTAGGGATATGTTTGTGTATATATTTATATATGTATATGGGTATGGTTTTCAGCAAGGCTAAAGTCATTATAACTATATAGTCGTGCATTTTTGTTGCTGTGGTTTTGCTATCTTTGTTTTGTAGGTGTGGAACTGAGAAGTCCAGTGTGCTGTCCTGTGTTTTCTCAAAATATATTTTACATATCTTCTAATCTCTTTTTCACTCTTTCTCATTGCATTTCACTTTTTTCTTTCTTCTTCTTTTTCTCCTATTAAAAAAAATCATAATAATGGTGTGGAAAGGATGGCTACAGGGGGAGAAGGGAGGTCATAAAAAAAAAAGGTTTTTTTAGGTCATGCCTCTTCCTGTCACGTGACTTCTTAAASAGCTCCGTCCATTTGGATTTTCCGTAAACAGAGAGGGGGGGTCTATGTTTTTTTTTTAATCCCTCACGAATAAAAAAAACTATTTTGCATAAATATACGTA